CAAAGACAGAAGGACCAATGAGACGCAGCCCTCGCGTCGTATATTCAGGCTTGGCCCACAGACTGCACTATGCATTCACTAAACAGATAACTGGACTACGAGACAAGTGCAGACGTGCCACTGGCGACGGCTGCATGTCACGAGATGTAACACCTCGAGTCAACCAAAGGGTGCAGCCTGTGCGCCTCAACTTAAAAGGAATAGTTGGACTAACAAAACTCATTCTAGGAAGCGGTGGGAGGAATACTAAGTTTCTGCTATGTAGCAGAGTGACTGTGAGCTTAAATTTCACGGGAAAGAAGAGGTGTGCAGCAGTAACAAGACCAAACGGTTTTTGTTAAACGAACTGTTCGATGAACCTGATAACGCTTCTTCACCTGCAGGAAAAATGTCAAGCTCAGTGACGAGTTCGTCTGAGAAACGAATAACCTGAGCTATCTACATTAACTTCTATATCGAAACGGCTTTGTAGCATTTTTCCGGATGCGAAGTGGCTTGCTGAGCATGCAAGCGGCCGGTCACCAATCTGAATGACCAGCGGACTCCGCCTCAGTACGTTATTCCTTAGCGGGTAAACAGAACTGAAGTTCCATCAGCAAAGAATGTGTGTGCGCACATACACAGGCAAACGCAAATCATTCCGTCTTATTTGCTGAGCTGACGAACGGACTCGGTGATCGTCGCCTAATATGCCCTCGCACACTTTATCGTTGCGGGTAAGACGGCGACGCCAAAGTACCAAGAATGCAGCGTAGAAAAATATACTCGAATAACCCAAAGTGCATGTGATGATGGAACAGAGAGATAAATCCCACTAATGTAGGAGGACTCCTATTGTAGCCATGTATAGATGATTTTTAAGACCAGTCACATCCCGTTTTAGGATGTCGAGAACTAATGAAAGTAATTCTTCGCTCGTAATACGTGAAGTAACCTCAGCGGTTACATCTACCACAGCTACCAAGGCAAAATTATCGGCTACCCCTAGTTTTGCCAGCCAAAGATCAATGGACCACGAAGTAGCCATGGAGTCTGCAACATCAGTGTATTCCAATGCTGTATAGCGGATACCGAAAAATTCGGAACGTTGGTCCAAAGTTGACTGTGCAGCTATCAAGATGTCCGACTCGCTCAGTTCTCCAATGAGGCATTTCATGACGGAGTACACGGAGTAGCAACAACCCGTAGGATGGACAAAAAACCAGCAAAGGAAATTAATTATTGTATGGTATAGCCATAAAAGTGAACCGGACAGATTGTGTTCTTGTTTTTACTTGTCGTTCTTCCCATTTTATCGAAGTAGAGAGTTATAACACTAAATATATGAACCAAGTAATTATACACACTGATGTACTGATTTCGGCTACGCGCCATAGCTTCAGGCGTTCCTAGTCGCAAGGCCGCTCTATTAGTTGAGTCCCCAAATAAGAAAATGCGTGAGAAAGGTGGCGACTAGATGACAAGTTAGCGATTTTATATTCTGCCTCCAAACAGAAGCGACTTTTACGTGATTACTTCCAGTTCAATGCTGCGCGAGCGAACAGCGCGCAATGCGGTAAGATGGCGTGACATTCACAGGACACAGCAAAACAAGTGTGCTGAAGAGAAGAATTGCATTTTCCAAGGCACGTCATCCACACTCCACCGTTGCAAACTCGGTGTTACCAGCTTACACCATTATCGAAAGCCGATAAATCTCATTCATACGAAATGGACAAGGCTCGCCTCCAGACAATAACGCCGCTGGAACAGAGGCGTTGTAACGCTTGATTTTTAACGAGAGACGTCCTGATAATGTCACAAATACCTCACGTTCGTAAACGTCCACCAAGCCTAGCCGACGCGAAGAAAGGTATCCGTTCCAATGGTGTCAACAGCGAAAACGCAGCTACCCAAGTGCACAAAACTGTTCAACTGTCCAAACTGTGTATCTTCAAGAGTAGGCGGGCGAGCGACACATTGCACCTTAAAATGACGAAACATAACCCGTACCTAGATATTTCAATCGGCAAGCAAGCTAGAATGTTTTGCACACTGCCCAGGTCGTCATTAAGTAAGGCGATTTTATCATCACCATAGGATACAACAGTAAGTTGTTACTGGTGCTTCACTGGCAGGTAATCGTGTGGCTGCAAATGAGCTGATAATACCGAACACATCAGCCCTAGTCAGCAGTAAAAGGAACCTGAACATTGATCAAAGACGTTGAAATTAAACACCTGAACCAGTACGCCGGAGATTCTCTTTCATGGTGGGGCATACGACAAAACTGAATAGAAATTCTCGCAAGCTTCCCTTTTTGGAAAGATGTCCGGCAAAAAGACGTGGACCGTGATGTGAAACAAGGCGCTCGAAAAGAGGAAACGCAAAATGTTCGCCCATTCCACAGGGCAGGGGAATCGACTGAATATAGCGCGCTTTCCATTAACAAAGCTACAATGGGCCTGTGATTGGTGTGATGCGGCCATATCGCTTGGTCCAGAGTTACAGACCTACGAAACCCTGCTCAGACGGGAAAGTTGCCTTCTGGGAATCCGCCCCCATGGAAAGGCAGCGAACCAGAATGGAAACATGTAAGTTTGGCATCGCTATATGGCAATTTTGCAGGTGGCGCAAACGCCGTTATAACTCCTTTTGAGTGCTAATGTCCTGATTGATTTGTTTCGCTTGGCCTCCAATAATTGTTAGAACTGATGGGCTTCACTGACATCCATGAATAGAGCGGATAAGAGTGGATCCGGATCATCAGCACGGAAATGGCTGGAGAATACGATCGCACTTCTCACCTTACGTTCAGATCGAGGATTTAATTGAATTGGCCATGGTTTGATTCGTGCCATATGAACTCAAAGTAGCTTGAATGTAGGGGTATCACACGCATGTGGCGGTACAATAACCCAGGGGATTTCAGAAAAGCAAAAGAAGAAGTGGCACGTTAGTCGATGACCCTGCACAGAGGTATGAGAAAAACTGTTGACAGCCTTGATGGCATCAAGACTTCAGTAGCTTACTAGTATTCTGCGTTGCCACACGCACCTATGTGGGTTCGAACCGACGACTGGTGGAGTATAAACAAAACGTCTGAACAATTCTGTCACCCGTCGGACACTGATGGCATTTTGCTGACGGAACTATGCAAGCAGATGATGCTCCCCTGATGTCCATTCTGAAGCATATCCTGATACGACAGTGATCCTCAAGTTTCTTTTATGGTTGTTGCCCACAAAAAACAATTGCTTCCATAAAATGTTAGTTTAAAAAGCTAACTACCTATTAAATTATGTATGTTTAGCTTTTAAATACAAAAAATGAATACTATTCTCAAGTACTTTTGATTATCCAAATAAAGAAAACATAGTTGGCCAAAAGTTAAATAATCAAGAGGTGAAGTACGTTGAGGTTGATATTGCTTAGTTCTAACAATTTGTGAAATACTTTGTGCGGTGTTGGCTACTTCATATCGTAAGTCGTGCTGCAAGTTCATTCGATTCTTTGCTTTGGTGTGTGATCACTGATCAAACATGAACAGATGTCAGTTGCTTCTCATTTGTCTCAACCATTCCTTCCAGCTTCCCACTATCATTCTGTATCGATACGTACTGAACACTAATCGCCTGTTTGGTCCCTTCTACCTTGTAAACATTTACTTGCGCCTTTATTTTGCCGACTGACCTATGCACCCACCTTAGCGTTCACTCAACTCAACCCGGCTGGTAAAAAAGAACAACGATCAAAGATCGAGCCGATAGAGGCGCCACTTAGCTGTGTTCTTTTGCAGGCTTGTATTAGTATGTTATGTAACAAAAGTTATTCCTGAAAACTGTCTGATTCACCGACCGCTTACAAATGATTACTTACTGACGGCTAATCAATAGTGATTAGGTAACTAGTTGCATGTTTTGATACGGATGATTTTGTTTGGCAAATGATCGATAGTTTTTGTAAGGACATTCATCCCAGTAATTCACAAGGTACAAAGCATAGTCTAGTCCGGAAAAACACCAGCCGCGTTTCGCCCTATTGAAGCTCGTCAATGGTGCGCATTCCCTCGGTCCCATACTGGGGATCGAACCCATGACCGCTAGAAGCAGATGCCAACTAGCCAGCAGTGTAAGTCACTGAGCCATGGTGGACGTTGGCTGGGCTAATTTGCAAGCCAACTGGGATATAGCCTGGGATATATGCCTTAACAAGAAGTACAACTAAAATCCTGCTACCCGCGCGTAATGTAAAATGATCGACAACCCAATTTTCGTACTTATATTTACCCCCGTAAAATTCCACTTTACCCCCTTGGGGTAATTACCCCTAGATCGAGAAGCGCTGCGATAGGGGCTAACGCCTTGTAAGTATCAAACGGAAGTATTTTATCATCCGCAGCATGTATAGAAACAAGTTTGCCCTCCGGAGTGAATCACGATAGCTGCACCGTCAGACAACACAAAAATACATTCCAGGATACGGCTGAAGATGCCAGTGGTTGGACCACGAACATCTTAAGCAAATATGATATGACGTACCTACACCTCCCAGATACATTAAATTAAGTATGTACTTATGGCTAATCGCAAATCAGGTACAGCAGATCTGTACCACAGTGACCAAACGCTACCCTGTTTGATACGAGGAATGGGAACTGTCCGAGGGAACAATAGGCTCTCCTATCGTGAGAAATAATAAGTGAAACATCAGCTCCTGGGTATATAGCAGACAAGCCGTTGAACTCGATGGCTTAATTTCGACGGAAGATGCTACCGGATATCAGTACTCCGATAGGGAGACCTCCGTAATGGTGACTGGGAGAATACAAGTGGTCCCGATAACATCTGAAGGCAAGCACTAAAGCGAACCCTGTGGTGGGAGCAGATAAAGCGTTGAACCCAGCTAGAAGCGGTCGAATTTAGATGTGTGAAGGAAAGGTGAAAGCGAAACCACAGAGAAGGTTACATGAAATCGAGCATCCGGAACCGAATCAACCAACACGGTGCGGAGAGACTGACCTAATGAAGCAACAGCTGGACAGCGATCGTAGAAGTACTTCAGGCATGTTTCACGTACATTCTCGGCTAAAAGCACCTGAAACAAAAGGTGTACTCAATTAAGAATGGTAGCACAGGAAACTTTATATCTGAAACTCTTCAGTGAAAATAGAGATGCGCTGAAGGAAACAACAGAATACTGTTTCAGATAAATATGGAGGAAAATCGACTGACGGATTTATTTGGCGTTCAGTTCGGTTGAACAACTATGCCATTAACACTGAATTGCAGTGGATTGTTGATACGGCTCACATCGCAAGGATAACAATAAATAACAACGGCAAGATAGTGGGGTTAAATGTAAACAGAACACAATGAAAATGGAAGCAAGGAGGTGCGTTACTCTAATTTGAGTCATTTTCCTGTAGACTCTTACACGGCCTCGAGAATCACAGTAGACATTAGAATGAAAGTGAACATATTTGGCGTGTGTGTACATGACTCGTCTGAAGTATCTCTTTCGCTTGCTGAAATTCCAAACCAACTATGCGCCAATTCAACTGGTCTGACAAACGCAAAACGTTGGCAAATAATTACATTAACCAAGCGTTTCACTAAAGTTTCCTAACAACCATGACCTGGTGATCGGTTTCAAGTATATGCCAATAGTTTGAACCGATTGCAGTCTCCATAAAACAGGGAAAGCTGTACAGCTAAGACTACGGTTCGAGAAGTAAGAATATCACCGTCATCTGCTTTGTGCATCGTTCCGTTGAAAATATGAAAACTTCAAAGTCCATTAAAGCCAAAATATATATATATATATATATATATATATATATATATATATATTTGGCTCATATTTCTTGGCTTTAATGGACTTTGAAGTTTTCATATTTTCAACGGAACGATGCACTACTGGGCGCGAACTAAAGCAGAGCCTACGCCTGGTGGACCAAGCGCGCTTATGCAATGGAGGAGACAGGAGCAGTAGGCAATTACCGCAAGCTCTTTCAGCTGATCCGTACCACTGGTCCCTGGAAACCAGGCGTCAATGAGACAATCAGAGACAGCGCGGGTACACTGATATACAATAAGGAGCGCCGTATGGCTCGTTGGGCGGAAAACTTTCATGATCAGTTCAGCTGGAACCCTGCTCCAGGACCTCTTCCTACTCAGGTGATGCAGGACGAGCCATGGACGGTTAGTTTAGAGGCTCCATCGGAGGCTGAGGTCCGAAACGCGATCACAGCCCTCAATCGTTTTCGTGCTGCTGGCCCGGATTCTCTCCCACCTGCAGTATTTAAGGATGGAGGTGAGGTTCTCTGCAAAGCACTGACCTCCCTATTCGAACGTATCTGGAAGAAAGACAGTGTCCCGGCTAACTGGAACGAATCGATTATAGTGGCAATATACAGGAAGGGCAGTCGCACAGACTGTTCAACCCACAGGGGTATTAGCCTAACGCCAGTTGTAACAAAATTACTGGCGTCAATTCTCGTTCGTCGCCAAACTGCAGGATGAGAATCTCGGATTAGAGAAGAGCAGGCAAATTTCCGCCCAAGATGTGGCTGTATAGACCATCCTGCGGCAGGTGCCAGAGTAGCGCCACGCATACCACAGACCGACAATAGCTGGGTTCCTCGATTTCAAGAGTGCATTCGATTTAGTCGATTGACCCATTCTGTTCAAAATACTTGCGCGGAAAGGTGTTCCCATGAAATATGTGAACATTCTACGTGCTCTATACTCAAACACTACAGGCCGCGTCAGGGTCTACGGTGACCTGTCGGATAGCCTTCCGACCACAAGTGGTGTTCGTCAGCGTTGTCGGACTTCTCCATTTTTTTTCAATTTCGTCGTGGACCGCATCATTGAGTGTTCCCTTGCGGAACCTCACGATGTAGGCGTCGAGGTCCTGTCTGGTGAAAGGCTGGTTGATCTTGATTATGCGGACGATATCTTCTTGCTTTTCGTCGATGTTGCAGCGGCACAACCAACCCCGAATAGCTTATCTAGAGTGGTCCCATTATTTGGTATGCCCTTCGCACTTACAAAGTGTTGCTGCAGGACCACCAACCACTTTATGACCCCTTGACCCTTGCTAACGGGGAACTCGAGGTGGTTGATCAATTCACTTTCTTGGCAGCTGCATCAGAAACGATGGACGCATTGAAACTGAAGTCATTTCATGCCTTGCAAAGGTCAGAGCTACTTTCTTGAACCTGCGGCATCTTTGGCGACAGAAGGAAGTTTCGCTCCGTCTGAAGTGCCGTGTATACAAGGCCACAGTGAGGGCCGCCCTGCTATATGTTGGTGAAACTTGGCCCCTTCGGTCTGAAGATCTGAGGCGCCTTCAACTCTTTGATCATCGTTGTTTGCGAAGCATTGCTGATGTCGGATGGCACCAGTGTGTCCGCAACAATGATGTGCGTAGGCGAGTACTAGGTAGTGATAATCATGCTAGCTCCCTAGAACAATAGATAGTACTAAATAAGTTGCGTTGGCTTGGGCACGTGCTACGTAAGTCTGGTCATCGCTTACCTAGGAGGGTCTTGTTTAGTCTGCCAGATGTAGGGTGGCGTAAGGCTCGAAGTGCACAGAAGTTAATTTGGTAGCGAGAAATGAAGTCACTGACGACCAAACTGGGTGCCGTTGGTTCTTCTTGCCTTCCGGGCTGGAGTCCACGTGACTCGCCTTGTGCTTGGCTCGAGACTTTACAGGACATGACTCGCATTCGACACCAGTGGCGCGTCTGCTGTCGTCTCCTAGTCGGACTGCCTGTTTGAAGTGTGTTTGGTGCTGAGTTATCTGCAGGGTAATGGCTGATTATGACGCGTGGTAGTGAAAGCCGCAAGAAAGCTGTTTCGCCGATGCCGCCTTATCTTTGCATGATAGCCAGCTGTTTGTGACGATATGTTGTCTATACAAGGTGTAGACGCCTTGACCCTGAATGTTTGCTTTGGGGATTAATGTTTTCAGGTAAATCCCCCTTTCTCGCGTTTATTTTTTTATTCCATAGGCCAACATGGTTGTATTACAGCAAAGCGTCATTTCAAATGGTTGATGTACTGCTGTTGTTGGTAGATTGTTATCTACGGAATTGTCCGGCGCGCGTTACACCAAAACCGAGGGATATCGGTTAGTTTAGCTGATGTGCCTAACACAAGATGATAAACACAGTCAATTAAATATATATGAACACAGAACTAGTTGCAAAGATGCTAGTGAGCTATCAAACAAGACAAATAGACATACATCGATGCGTTCAAACATCTCTGAAAGCGGGATTCGACGATTATAAACCAACATATGGCGTCCGATCTCTTCGCAGATTGGAGTAGTCCCATCTAACTGAAGCAAGAGATGTGTCTTCAGTTGGTTCTTGGCCCTTTCGATTTCATGCGGCGTAATTTGTGTGCACATCCGCACGAACTCCTTCATAAATTCACTCACAGCCTCCAAAAGCCCCAACTTTTCGGAAGTCAGGTAAACACCCCTGTGAAAAGGTGAAAATGTTTTAACACGAGGTTACACCCAGTCAATAGTGATAAAGATGAGTAAAGCGAATATATATATGGGACAAAGTCGCTCCTTCCGAATGTCCAGTAAGATGACAAAGATATCTCTCAGTCAGGGTCAATTGATGGTAGCCTAAACAAAGTGAGTGCCAAAGAACAACTCGAGTTTCGGTGATAAAAGCGAACGATAGCAAAAGCAACGAATTGCGGATACAGCCCCAGCGGTTGGAATGAAAGAGATCCGAATCAAAGAGATTGTGTGTTGGAATCGAGACACACGGAGGATGAACTATTAGACAGAGTTATCCCGTTCCTAGATTTTTACAAGTCCCTTGTGAGATCTAACAATGCGGGAGCTGACGTGTTGCGAGGAAAAACTATTTGATACAGTCGAGATTAAACTATTTATTTATCATGCGGACGATATTGTCTTGATGCTTGATGGCCGCGAGACAGCGCAGCAAACTTCCGAAAAACTCTCTAGAGTGGCCCCATCGTTTGACATGATGTTCACGCCTTCAAAGTATGATGTGTTGTTGCCGGACCACTAACCAGTTGACCGCTCCTTAAAGCTTTATAACGAAAAACGCGCAGTAGTTGATCGATTCGCCTACTTCAGCAAGTACATCAGCAACGAAAGGCTCATAATCGCTGTAGTTCACATTTTGCGAAAGCTATAACGTCAGAAAGAGGATTTCTCTTCGTCTGAAAGGCCGTACGTAAAAGATCACACCATGAGAATGAAAACGGACTCCTTCGGTCTGAGGAAGTCAATCATATACAACTCCTTGGTCACCGTTGGATACGGAGCACTGCTGGTGTCGAATGTCACCGCCGTATCCGTAACTGGTGTGCGCACGTGAGTACTAGAGGGGTAGTAGTGTGTCAGCTGTACGCCGTAACGGCGTTTCGCTGCCGCGCGACCACCACCAGTCGCGCGCGGGCTGAGTATACCGCGAGGACGCCCAATCCTACGCGGATTCGAAGCGGGGACCTTACGGTTGCAAACCAGGTGCGCAGACCATTCGGCCAACGGGGGGATACTCAAGTAAACGCCCTAAAAAAACAAAAAGCATTTAATAATTTGCGTTGGCTTTGGCGCCTACTACGTATGTCCAGTCTCCGCTTATCGAGGACATTACTTTAATCGCTCAGATGGCGGTACCCACGGACGCCGCGGAATTTTGAGGAATCGAGTGCTGGATACTGCTTTTGCTTTAGATTACTGTGTTATAAATATTGTTTCTGTATGAATTGTGCACCAATATTTTTCTTTTGGTGTATTTTCCAATCGGTGCAAATGCAAGGGATATTCTTCGGCTAATTCCGAAGATCTCATTGATTGACCCAACTGCCATCTGTGTCCGCCATCATGGATTTGCTCCACCTTGTGATGCCGCCTCAAGCTGCTTGTGGTTCGTGTTCGAATGTTGTTAGACATAAGGCTCATGCATTTCGGCCGCAATGTTTTGTTTCAGATTTCGTGCACTGGCTTATCCGTTGAGGTATTTCAAAAATCTCTCGTCATCCGACATCAGATTTTCCAAGTTATATGTGATAAATGTCGCTGTGCAAGACATCAGAATACACAGCGACCGCCAACGACTACAGGAAAACCTCTTACAGATAGAAACAAGCCATTCACCACATGGAGTCAAACGCCCTCGTGAAAGTACCTCTGTGACCTCGCCTTCCCTTGTCACTCCGCGATGTACACCATCACCAGCGTCTTCGACTCCGGCCGAGCCTCAGGTTCAATGTTCCCCAGCGATTGAAGACTCAGACTCGGAACCTCCAAAATGCCGCTACACTGATCGGACTGTGAATTTTTCAGAGCCTGTCTGTGAACCCCAGAACACCGAGAATCCATGGACCACTCAAAAGCGCAAGGGGCCACGTAATCGAGTTCAGGCATCTCCTGCCGATGAACAACAACATAAACCGATAGTCCTGCTCTCACAGGTTCACCACCGATTTCGCTGAGGTGTCATAATCTTATGGTCTTCCACGTACCACAGTAAAAAGATGAAAACCCTCAGATACGTTATGATCACAATGTTGGCTCATCCAGGGGCTCATCGATAGACTCTTGGATGTGGGTGAAGACATTATGACGTTTACACAAGTAGTCCGACTTGACCAGAAAATTAACCAGTCATATCGACCTATGAGAATCACGTTTGTAAAGCACAATATGCCGAAGCTCATACTGTTTCGTCTTTCAAGGCTGAAAAGCATAAAGCTTCACATCCGCCGAGACTTGGAACCCGAAGACAGGGATGGTTTAAAGACTGTGGTCATTGAGCTGAAATGCCGTACAGAAGAAGGCGAAACTGACTTACAAATTGTAAATGTCTGGGTGATCAAAAAGGGTGTACGAACCCGTATTAACCGGTTGCTCAACCTTCAGACACGTCCCGGCGTACCTCCCAGGACCTCTGTGTGGCATTCGCCAACGTGTGCAGCCTAATGAACAAACGTGACGAACTGTACCGCTTCGCCGTCTCGGAGCGGCAGGACATCTCAGAACTTGCAAACTTGGCTGAATTCCGACGTCATACCTCAAGAAGTCGCCTTGTCAGGATCCTGTTTCCGATGCGATCTAAAATCAAAGACTCACCGTGGTGTTCTGTCGTACATGGAATCGTCACTATCTGGCAAACTTATCAGCACATGTCAGAGCGAAGATAACGTATGCAATCAACTGTGGTGCACAATCCGCCTCAGACGCGCAGAACCGATAGTGGGTGTTGTCTGCCGTAGCCCATTAAACCATTGTTGCGATTGGCTGCCACATATACAGAAGCACATGAACCGTCTCATTTCTTACTGATGGGGGATCTAAATTTACCCAAGATATTCTGGCCAGACGTTCGCCTTCTTCCAGGTCATGGCGATGTTGAGGTGCAATTCGCTAAAATGATTACTGAAATCGAGGCGACGCAACATGTCGTCCAACCGACGAGCATAACTCCGCACTCGGCATCTTGTTTGGACTTAACGCTTAAGAGCTGCGAGCAGCTGAACGAGATCAGAGTCCTTGAACCTCTGCCGAACAGTGACCAATGCGCTTTGTGGCAAGCATAGAACTGCCGTTACCGGATTACAATCAACGGAAACCGACATTCAACTATTGGAAGACGGACTACAACGAACTCGTCCAAACCGCAAGTCAGACCGACTGGACACTACCACAGGATGCGTTGCTTGAGGTCAATTGGTCATCAATGAAGGAGAAGCTTAACTCGCTGTGTACTCGTTTCGTCCCCCTAAAGTATTAGAAGACGGACCTGTCAAACTGCATTGGTTTGATAAGGAATATAAACAGTTAGTGCGACGGCGTCGCAGACGTTGGGATGGATACATCATCTCGGGCTGTGATGAGGAGTACACGTATACAAGAAACAGCATAACATAGGTAACGACGCAAAGATCAAGAAAGACCGGCAGTTAGAAATGAAGCTAGCAGCCTCGGCCAAAAGCGACCCAAAGAGAAAATCCGCCTACGGGCGACCTACCGGTCTTAGAGAGCTTGAACAGACAGACGCTTATTTCAAGCGCGGACGCCTTGGCTTCGCACTTCCTTACCGTATTTTATAGTAAAGCGGCGGCTGTTCCAGTACCGGCAAAGGTTGTGGCAGTCTTCCTCGACAGTCTACAATGTGATGTAGCCGAAGTGTACCAGCTACTCGTCAACTTCGATGGTTCAAAGCCCCCCTCCGGACCAGACGGAGTACACCCACTAATACTTAAGTCCCTATCGAATGCCATCTCACCAGCCGTGACAAGCCTATTCAATAAATCACTTTCTAAAGGATCTGTCTCCAACGACCGGAAATGATCCATAGTGACACCGCTTCCCAAGGGTGGTGATCCGAGTAAAGTAGAGAACTACAGACCGATTTGGTTGACTTCCATGTTGTCCATAGTTCGCGAGAAGGTTGTGAAAAAGCGTCTGCTGTCGTTTTCGGAATCGATGGACGTATTGACACAAGCACAACATGGCTTTACGAAAGGTCGATCCTGCAACACCAACTTACTGTACGCAACCACCAGTGGGCACGAGCACTCAACGAACGGAAGGATGTTGGTGGTATACATCGACTTTAGTAAGGCGTCTGACAGGGTGAACTACGAGGTTTTCCTTCGTAAACTGAGGACCTACGGAATCGGCGGCACACTACTTCAGTGGTTACATGAGTTTATTGTGGGACGAAAGTTTAGAGTGCAGGTCAATAACTACCTGACAGATTGGTTCCCATGAACCAGTGGCGTGCCTCAAGGAACTGTATTTGGACAGTATTATTTCTTATTCATATCAACCATCTCCTGCAGCAGCTCCAGTCACCATGTGCCATGCATGCAGATGAGTTGAAAACCTGGAGGAGCATTAAGAACCAGGACGACTGTACTCGCTTCCAGCATGAGTTAGATCGACTGTCAAAGTAGTCCACTGAAATGCAACTCCCTCGTAATGCAAGGAAGTCGGAGTTCATCAATATCACCAGACGTGCAGCCACTCGAGCATACACCTTGGATGTCCAGCTGCTCCACCCTAACACATCTGTCAGAGACTCAGGAGTGCTCAGGCGACATGATATGAGATCACTAGAACATACAGAGAAATTACACCGTGCGTGACTTCGAAGGCTCCGGGCATTATGACTCAGTTTCTCCACACGGTCGGGAGAAACCGTCCCTCGTCTATTCACCTGACTTATCAGACCAATCCTTGAATATGGCACTCCAGCTTACCTTCCGATAACCCAATAAGGAACGGAAAATCCAGAGAAAATACAGTACATCGCAACTAGAATAATTCCCAGTCTACGAAAGTTTCCATATGAAAAACTTAATGAAAGGCGCGGATTCTACACACTATCCTACCACCGAGTAAGAATTGACCTTATTATGACACATAGAATACTACACTTGAACCACTTCGTCATACAGAGGCCAATATTTCACCTGCGGGAAC